AAACCACTTCAATACCCAAGGAAAAGTTTTGATGGGTTGTTTGGGGATAGAATAAAGTATAATCCCTGAAATTATCAAAGGATTTCGGATCGATAGAAAAAAGTTGTAGGTATCAGAAAACAGCGATTTTTCAAAAATCAATTGTCTTTGAGTGGCCATACATTAGAGAAATCGAAGCAATCAAGTAAAAAATGGGTAAATTCCAACAGAGTATACCTAAACGAAAAATATCATCTGTCATTTATTCCACTGCTTCAAAAACTGTAGATTTGAGAGCACTTTAAAAATTGGCAAAATTTATCTTAAGCAGTGTTTTATTTGGAGGCTTACAGCTTAGCCGGATTTGAGTTTAAACTTAAAACCAATTTTTTTCTTGAAAATAGAGGGATAACAGAGAAAAATGCCGTCTTGATCAAATCTCTAAGTTAAATAAGAGCTGAGATACGAATTTTTGAAAATGACAAAAAAATCGATTTTTTTTATATTTCAAAAAATTCTCTTGCAACCGGAATTACCTATATCGAGCTCAAATTTTCAGGATCGTCTCCTTATAAGACCTACTTTCGAGAAAAAAATCGGCAGCCAAATCGGTGATTTACCCCCGCAAACTTTTGTCGAAAAGTAATGGATCTGCCCATATATATACATATATATATATATATATATATATATATATATATATATATATATATATATATATATATATATATATATATATATATATATATATATATAAAATGAAGTTATATATATATATATATATATTAGACTGGTTCAAAAAAATCGAATATTTTTGTTGTTTCCTGAGAAAAATACAGACCATCAAAGATTACAAAAAAACTAGTTTTCTCTTTATAACTTTTAAACCACAACATTAATTTTCATCAGATATGGCACAAAATGTAATATAGTCAGTGCCTTAATAATAATGTGGGGGTACTTCTCCCCTTTTCACCTCAGTCTTTGACGCCACTAAAAATTTTAAACTTTAAATAAATTTTTAGGTCAAGTTTTTAATTTAGAGAAAAAAATTACTCTTGTAAAATTTTGATTTGGGTCTTTGTTTCTGAAATATTTGCTTAAAAATGTTTCCTCGCAGAGACGCTTTCCGTCAAAGTTTACAAAAAAAAACTCGTTTCCCCATCATAACTTCTAAACCACTTATCAATTTTTATCAAATTTTGTACACAATATAGTCAATGTCTTAGTAATGATGTGGATAATTATTTAAAGAAAACATCAGTGGCGCAGTTACTTGGGGGGCTGCTCCTCTTTGCACCTTAGTCGCCTCTGGAATTTTTTTTAATAATAAACACATTTTTAGATTATCTGTTTAATTTAGAGAAAAAAAAATACTCATGTAAAATTTTAATTTAGTGCTTCATTTTTTAAATAATTAATTTATTTATCCAAGAATACTTTTGTCGCAGTTTTTTTGGAGTGTGTTCCCAAATATTTCAAAAACGAAGCCCTAAATTAAAATTTTAGCACAGTATAGTTTTTTTATTTCTAAATTGAACAGACAATCTAAAAATGTAATTTTGCGAGGAAACATTTTTGAGCAAATATTTTAGAAACGAAGCCCCAAATCAAAATTTTACAAGAGCAAATTTTTTCCCTTAATTAAAAACTTGACCTAAACATTTATTTATTATTTTAAAATTTCCAGTGGCGTCAAAGACTGAGGTGAAAAGGGGAGCAGCCCCCCAAGTAACTGCAGCACTGATGTTTTTTATAATAATTATCTACATCATTATTAAGGCACTGACTATATTACATTGTGTGCTAAATTAATTTTGTGGTTTAAAAGTTATGAAGAGAAAACAATTTTTTTTTGGAAACTTTGACGGCCTGTATTTCTCTTAGGAAACATTTTTAAGAAATGTTTTTTTATGAAATTCTACCTTATTTTTGATGCTTTATCACCTATTAAAATTAATGTATTACAAACTGGACCATCCTGTACAATAAAGAGTGATAAGGTTTATTATTATGCCACCAATTGAAAAAAAAACGTTAAATTTATTATATGTCTAATTTCAACCTTGAATAACTATAAAAGAAGTGAATTTATAAAAAAAATATAAGAGACATTTTTTGTAGAACGTTCAATTTTCTTTAAAAATATGTATCGCTTATTCCAATATGTTCACTCAAAAACGAGTTATAAAATTTCAAAGTTAAGAAAAAAGAATTCCTGTGTTATTTAAACGTAAAATAGAAATTCACGGTGAGCGACCTCTAAATATTAATATTAAGAGCTACAATTTTCACAGGCTTCTTTTTTCACTACTAGGAAGATATTTCAATGCGGGCTTTGAAGAAAAAAAAATATTCAATTTTTTTTACCAGTCTAATATATACAGGATGTCCGGGAAAAGGAAGTCAATCCGTTAACCATATATTCTTTGAGTTAAAACAATAAGACTTTCATAATACCATTTTTCAATTTAGACCTTCATGTTCGATATACAGGGCGACAAAGTTTGAAATTTAAAACTGATTTTTTTTAATAATTCGAGTAATTGATAAGATATTAAGTTCAAATTTGGTACACTACTTCAACATAAATAGTTACATTTTTTGAGGACAACAAAACAAAAAACAATTGTCAAATAATCAAAATAGGGGGGGTCCAGTACTCACTGACTCCCCCTAATTTTAGTACGTGCGCCCATGACTTCCAAACGGTATTTTTTCAGGTAATCATTTATTGTAAAAAAAATTTGTCTCTTCGGCCATTTCAATCGCGCGAAACGCACGAATTACAAAACTGTTTTTATAAAAAAAAATGTAGATTATTTATTATATAATATTTTGGCATCAAAATTGTCAAAAATATTCTTCTTTTATTAGGTTATACATTAAATCAAAAAAACTCAAGAAATATTTTATGAAAGTAGATATAATTTTAATAATTGAAAGGTGTGGACGGGACAAAAAAAAGATTTATCTTGTCCCGTCCATCCCTGTCAATTATTGAAATTATCTCAGACTTGAATTCTCCTTAAAAAGTGTCTAAATTAAAAAAAATCTACCTTCAACTGGTTTTGAAGAAAATAATTACAAATTCCCTTTATTCACGATATCTTGAAAACTACTGTCAATTATTGAAATTATCTCTACTTTTATAAAATATTTCTTGCGATTTTTTTTATTTAATGTATACCCTAATAATAGACGATTTTTTTTGACAATTTTGATGCAAACATAATATAATAAATTAGCTACAATTTTTTTTATAAAAACAGTTTTGTGATTTGTCCCGTCCATCCGCTTGAAATGGCCGTCTTATAAAATTTTGATAAATTGATTTGTTTTAGAGATAATCAAAAATCAAACCTCGAATAACTCTAGAAGAAATCAATTTATCGAAAAATAATAAGAGACCTTTTTTGTAGAGCGTTAAATTTTATATAAGAAACTGCAATGATCATTGCCATAAGTTACTTTGATACAGAGGTATAAAATTCCAAACATAAATTAATTTTTCCCATGTTAATTCAATGGGAAACTAAAATAAAAACAGCGACATCTTAGAGTTGAGCTGGAACGTCCATATTTGGTGAGGATTTTCTTTGAAGCACCCTAATATATATATGTGTCCGCTTTCGAGGCTAAGCTTGGGTATATCGCTTATTTTATCTTAGCAGTTTTAAAAACTAGCAAAAATATTTTTGCAGACTTGAATTCTCCTTAAAAAGTTTCTAAATTAAAAAAATTCTACCTTCAACTGGTTTTGAAGAAAATAATTACAAATTTCCTTTATTTACGATATCTTGAAAACTAAAAATGATTTCTTTTTAAATCATTAATCGGCATAAAAATGCCTTGAAAAACGGACTCACTGTATATATATACAGATTTTAATCGAAAAAAATTAAGTCGATAAAACTCTCAAAAATAGGAAAAAAGTTTTTATAAACTTGTATGTTTTAAAGCTTTGTTTTCGAAATACAGGGGGGTAAGTCATTAAAAAAATATTTATTTTCCATAAAATTTACAAAACTCCTTGGGCAAAGTTATTAAAACTTTTTAGATTTTTAGTAGGTAAAGGGGCTAATGTAATAAAATTAAATATGGGCCATCCCAACTATAATTATTTAAAAATAAAATTTGGGTACGCTACTACTGTTTTATAAATTGAATATTATTTTTAGATTAAGTAATTAAAAATACAACTTTTTTGTGTCTTGCATATTTATCTATTTTATTTAATTAAAAAAAAATTATTGGCTCGCCCTTGAAAAAATGATGGTCAGAAGTTTAAATTTTTTCTTGAAAATTAAGGAAGATAGAGTAAAAATGCAAGAAACAAAAACGTTGTATTTTTATTTGCTTAATATAATTATATTACCACCTTGTATCTCGAAAACCAATTAAGCTTTAAAGCAACAAGTTTATATAAACTATTTTTGCGAGTTTTATAAACTATTCAATTTTTACGATATATTTAAAAGTATTGTACTGCCAAAAGTTAAGTTTGCAGTTGGTAAAAAAACTAGTCTCTACAATGGAATAAAAAACATGTTATCTAAAAACTTCAAAGTTGTAAATAACCCAAAAAATAGATTTAGTTTTTGGTTTAAAAAAATGTTAAAAGACTGGATTATTAAAAACTGTACCAATAATTGATTATTAACTTATTAGTATTAAATGTCAAATTATAAGCTGTAATAGAAAATATTATATATTATTTTAGTTTTTGTTTAGTTTTAAGTTATTTACTGGACCTATGTACAGGTAATTTATTCTCCAATAGGCGGAAATTCTATTTCTGTACACTTGTATCTGGTAGTTAAATAAATAAATAAATAAATCTGAGAAACCATGTTTAATTTAGTAGAAAACTATATTTCCAGTCAAATTAACTAAGTACCTTAAAATCCGAAAAAGAAGCTATATATATATATTTCATTTTATTACCTCTTAATTGATATTGACAAATATTGCAATACCATGTTTAATTATAATTAAAAAAAAATAATTTTTTATATTACCTTTTTTCCTGTCTGATTTTGTACATTGTTGATTGCATGCCTTTAAAGTTTGGAAGTTATTACTATTTCCTTTACACCCGCCGTAATTAAACTCTTTACATTGTTTTGAATCTTGATCGTAATAATATCTTTTAAACTGTCCACGACAAGGACCTTCTTCTTTTGTTTGTTCGCAGGCATCTAAAGTAAATTATAATATTAAATTATGAATGTCATTATGCTGATAATTAATAATAACTACTTACCAACTGTATTATCTTTAACACATAATTTATTGCATTCTTCTGCTGTTTCAAATCTATTATTATTTCCAAGACATCCTCCATAAATAAATTGTGTGCAATATTTTCTTTCTTTATCATAATACCAATTAGGATAATACCCTTCACAAGGTCCCGCCATTTTCGGTAGGTTGCACCTTTCTAAAGTAATAATATAAAAAAACAATAATAATAAAAATATCAAAAAATATTACCTGTGCCTTGTGGAACAACGCAAACTCCATCACATTCTTCTTTACTTTTAAATCTGTTATTATTACCATCACAACCTCCATACCAAAATCTTGAGCATCCTCCGTAACCCATGTCAAAGTACCATTTAACGGTATAATTTCTACAAGATCCTCGTTCTTTTGGGAGTGCACAACTATCTAAAATAAAATACATATTTATAAATTCAAATTAAATAAATTTTACCATATAATCCACCTTGCAAATTTACTGGGACATTTTCGCAACCCTCAAAGTTATCACCAGTGGCAGTATTTACACCGTCAAGACAGCAACCATATTTAGTTGACTCACACCCACAACCCTCCATATTAGGGCCTTGAGCAGGACTTTTATCATCAGAACAGCATTTATATTCAGAGTTTTGACATCCGCAACCTAAAATATAAAACTATTAATTTTTCTTTATAATTATATTATTTATAAAAAGTACCTTGTTGATGAGGCCCTTTAGCTGTTGTATTACCATCCGGACAACAACCAAATTGAAAGGTATGGCACAAGCAACCTTCATAATCAGGACCATTTGAAGGAGTATACATATCTGGACAACAACCAAATTCAGTAAATTGACATCCACAACCTTCATTGGCATGCCCTCTAGCTGGGGTCTTATTATCTGGACAACAACCATATGGTAAGTACTGACATCCACATCCTTCTAAATTAAGTCCTTTAGCAGGGGTAATATTGTCTGGGCAACAACCAAATGATCCGCTTAGGCAACAACCTTCTTTGTTGTTACCATGAGCAGGAGTAACAAGGTCATCACAGCACCCATATGTTGTGTTGGAGCATGATAATTCGCATCCTTCATATTTTGGACCTTGGGCAGATATTTTGCCATCTGGACAACATTTAAAGTAGGATTCTTTACAATTGTCTTTAAATATATCACAACCCTTGAAGTTTTCTCCTTTAGCAGTATTTTTATTATCAGGACAGCACCCGTATTTAGATTTGTTACATGGTGTCTTAGGTGGTTCACATCCTTTTTGCTTAGGTCCCTTAGCATTTGTAATATTATCCTTACAACATCCATAATTAGAGGAAGCACATTTAGGAGGACAATCTTCATTATTATTTCCATTAGATGGAGTTTTACCATCTGGACAACATCCAAATAATGTTTCTTTGCATTGAGATTTTGGACATCCCATGTTTTTTGTACCCAAAGCAGCCGATACGCCATCTTCACAACAGCCATATTTGGACTCTTTGCAAATTTTTGGAGTTGGACAACCTTTTTCAAATGGTCCTGAGGCAGGTGTAATATTATCCAAACAGCACCCAAATTGTGTAGTTTTACAAGATTTTCCAAGCTTTCTTCTTTTACACATTCTAGGTCTTGCAGTTGTAAATAACTCAGTAATTGATGTAGTATCCCAACTTGTTTCAGTTGGTTGTGTTAATTTAGTTGTTGAAGACCATATATCATATTCAGAACTAGAAGTTTCTGTAGTTAATTCTGATACACCAGTGGAACTTTGAATAAATTCAGTCGACTCTGTAATTTCACTAAAGCTGTTGGAATCAGTAATTTCTTTAGTTGTACCAGAAACGTCATTAGTCTCGGTAAATTCTTTTGTTGTGCCAGAAACATCAGTAGTTTCTGTAAATTCTATTGTTGTACCAGAGACTTCAGTAGATCCAGTTATTTCTGTTGTTGAAGCTTCAGTAGATTCAAACCAGCTTGTGCTACTATATTTGGAATCTATATCAGTTGTTCCAGAAATATCTGTAGCTTGTGAAAAATAATCCGTATTTGTACTAATACTCCTACCCTTAGCTGTAGTTTTTTTATAAAATGGTTCTTCAAATGCTTCTGTAACTTTAGAGCTTGAAAGTTCTGTTGATTTTAAAGTAAACTCAGTACTTAATTCAGTTGTTGTTTCAGTATTATCACTTTCTGTAGAAATTGAATCTGTAAAAGCAGTTATTTCTGTACCAGTACTCTGTGTACTATCTATTGTTGTCTCTGTACTATCGTTTGATGTTTCTGTTGCATCTTCTGTCGTTTCTGTACCATCTATTGTTGTTTCTGTACTATCTATTGTTGTTTCTGTACTAGCTATTGTAATTTCTGTATTTTTTTTTGCTGTTTCTGTACCATCTATTGTGGTTTTAGTAGTGTCAACTGTGGTACTGTACGATTCAATTGTTGAAGTATACGTAACATTTTCTGTAGAACTGAGGTCATTTGCTTCACTAGTTGTGAAATCAGTATCTGTCATTTTATTTGTACTTTCAGAATTTGTTTTACTTTCGTTTTCTGTAATTGCAAAGTCTGTTGTACTATATATTTTTGTCGATAGATTTATATCAGTAATGGTGGATTCATCACCAGATCCTTCTTTAATCGTGGATATATCGTCGGTGTTTTTAATTGATGGTGTTGGAAAGAATTCTTGAATAGAGTTTGTTATTTTCGTATCACCTGATCCAATTTCACTTGTTAAAAAATCAGTATCAGTACTCATTGTTCCATCACTAAGCATTAAGTCGTCTGTAGAAAATACTGAACTGGTATGTTCTGCGTTTTTACTTTCCACCACCTAGAACCATAGTAAAACATTAATTTATATTTTTATCAAAAAAGCATTATTTTACCGATAACTTCGTCACATCAACTTCTTCCTCAGTAACCCATACACCACCTTCACATGTGTTAGCTTCAACAATTTCATATTCTTCAGTACTTGAAATAGTGGTAGCTTCGGGTTCTGATTCATCTACATCTTGTGTCACATCAGAAGGTATAATTGTATCTAAATATAATAATAATTTTTGATATTGTTAGGTTAAAGATAAAAAAATTCCTATTTTACTTAGTGCTATAATATTTTAAAAGCGGCATTTTTAAAATTTACTTTGATTTAATTCCTAAGTTGTATAAGTATTATTATTCTAAATAAGGATAGTTTTATAATGCTAACAAGCGATTTAGTATGGAAAAATTATTATTTAAAATTCTAAGTTGATTCATATACATAGTGGTTAAAGAATAAAGGGGTGTAGTATTATTGTATTATAATAGTCAAAAACAAATTTTTAATTGTATTACCTTCTGAGCAAGCATGAGTGTTACATTCGATAGTGGAAAATAGTATTTTCTCAAGTTTACACTCTTGGGTATCAACAACCTCATTATTTTTTATACAGACTACTTTTTGAGTTTTTTCACCTCCTCCACAGGATTTGGAACACTAAAAACATATTTTAATAAATACATATAAAAATATATTGACTAAAAAATTCTTACTTCTGACCAAGGACCACTAAACCATTCCGCTTCACACTCTGTCAATTTTCCAGTACAGGATCTTTCAAACTTAAGATTTATCGTTTGATTACAATTGGAATCATCAACCTTTTCCACTCCATTTGCCGTTACGGTACCACAAAAAATTGTTCTAGTTTGAACTCCTTCACCACAATTAGTTGAACACTAATAATATTTATGGTAAGAATAATATAAATAATTAATTGTAATTTATAATCACCTCGCTCCATTGGGATGCGTACCACAAAAAATCACACGAAGAGCTGGTTAAATTGCATGGTCTGGTTGTGTTAGGTTTATTTTCAGCATCACAAAAAGATTCAGAATAAATTTTATTATCGCTACTTGCGCACTGAACTTTTCTGGTTTCACTTTTCAACCCACAAATTGTGTTGCACTAAAATGTATTTTTATTTTAAATATTTTAAAATACTACACATGTTATTAAAAAATTTTAGGTAATTAAATTATTGACTTCATTACAAAAAAAATATTTGTTTTCGGTTAGACTAAGGTAGCCATGCTGAAATATTTTGTTTATAATGTGGTAAAATAAACTTGTATACTTGTCTAAAATAGTTATTAATTGTTCGTTTTTAATGAAATTTGGTTTGTACCCATTTTGAAGAATGCCTCATTTAGTGGCGTACTTATTATTTTCGAAAAACGACCCTAATATTTTCAGAATTTAGACATCGAAAAAATTTTATAGTAGGTCAAGTGACATTGAAAATATTTTGTATAGCTTAGATAGAGATTTTTATTCTCTATTTATATTAGGGTGTTCCTTATTTAAGGGTAGGAAAAAATTTAACCCAAAAGCGGTTCCAAATCATAATAAAAAATGCCTGCACGTGTTTCCTTTAACCGATTGATCTGAAATTTTGCAGGAATATATTTTTTATGATTTGGAACCGATTTGGGGAGAGCCTCTGTTAAATTTTTTCCTACCCCTAAATAAGGAACACCCTAATTTATATATATATATATATATATATTTATATATATACAAATAAAAAAAAGTGCGCGATGATCTAAATAGATTTCTACATTTCTAAAAAGGAAGCTGCGCACAGTGACGCCACTGCTTGTAGTATAAAAACGAATTTAATGCCTGACTACGGGTACTGTACCCACCGAATTTCAATAAAATATATTCTTTAGTTTAGGAGAAATTAATTTTTTTCATAAAAATATATGGAACTTCAACACCTTTTATTTCTAAGACTTTTAAGTTTTTAAGTTTATTAAGAAAATAATAATAACACCCTGTTAATATGTAAAATGTATATATACAGGGTGGTGCGAATTTCATTTCCCACCATTGTCATCTCATGAACCGTAAGAACGTTGGTTAAATTTCAAAAAAGGTGCGCTCTTTATGACCTTAATACCACTAAAATTTTACTTATTTTGATTTTCATGCAAATGTTTTTTTCCTGGATACTTTGCAAGTGGCATTAATTTTTAAGGTTTTAAATTAATGCCACGAGCGAAATTTCCAAGAAAAAATCTTGAGTAAATAAAAATCAAAAATTTTTTCAGGGAAAATTTTTTCAGGGAAAATTTTTTCACCAGTGGTATTCGGCAAGTATATTTAACGAATAATTTTTTTTTAAATTATAATTAACTGCCGATTCAATTTCTGTATGATATTTTTGACCAGAACGCATATTTGCATTTTTGACATATTTATTTTAAAATTAGAAACGTCAACATTGACAATTATTTTTTCAATTGGTTGCTATGCAACTCATATAAAAGAGTGTTCTTTACCTAAATAGTAGTTTTATCGCTGCAAAGCTGGAAAAACCACTGGTTTTCTGAAATCTGATTGGTCCATAAAATACCTAATGAGTGGAATAGTCGTAGAAAAAATAGGAAAAATAAAATAAAATAAAATAGTAGTTTTATCGCTGCAAAGCTGGAAAAACCACTGGTTTTCTGAAATCTGATTGGTCCATAAAATACCTAATGAGTGGAATAGTCGTAGAAAAAATAGGAAAAATGTTTCCTTACAGCGATGTTTGTCAGAGCTGTCATCAGTTATCGATTTTTTTTTACAGACTAGGATGTAAAAAAACTTTACATGATTGGTCTAAATTATTTTTACTTAAATTATAGAATGCTTAAAAGATAAAATATTATACTATAAAAGTAAAATTTCCAGTTAAAAAATAAATTTGCCTTGATTTTTCAAATACCTACGGCATATTTGTGTTTGTCACAGATGAAAAACTTAAATAATGTCAAAACAGCAACAAACCACAGCAAAATAAAGCACAAAACAAACAACATCAAAAACAGTTGTTGCTTGAAAACATGCGGAAAGAATTATTTTGAACAATTATTTTTGCTACCAAATCTATATATCTAGATTTTGTGACACATCCAATTATTTGAACTAGCTGCATTAGTAAAAAAATTATAAAGGATTTTTTATTTTAATTGGACTTTTTGAGTTTTTCAGGATAATTTAGAATCGGTCGAAGGTATCTTATATTTCTTGATAGATTTAAAATATTCATAAAATAGCTCACCTTTTTTGTAATTTAACCAACTTCGTATCTCTTACGGTTCAAGAGATGCCAATGGTAAGAAATTAAATTTGCACCACCCTGTATATATATTATATATTAGGGTTGTCCTTAATTTCTGGTGTTTTTAAAATTTTGCCTTCCGTGTGGTGTATTTGCTTCTATGCTTAAAAAAATAATTCTGACAAATTTTTAATTCGTAATAGGCTCAAAATTTCTTAAGTTTGCCACTTAAAAATTGATGGTCTCATTTTTCATCGATTAATACGGTTTTCAATCGATTTTTACAATATTGTATTACAATATTGTAATATAGTATTTACTTAATAATAATTAAATTTTTTGTAGATGTTTTTTTTCAAAAATTAATTAGGTACTCCCGAACGGTTCATCGTAACTTAACATTTTTTATATCAAAATTTAAAAATTGATGGTCTCATTTTTATCGATTAATACGGTTTTCAATCGTTTTAGGGGTAAAAATTACTTTCCTAAAATATTTTTTCAAAAAATCTATTTTTACAATATCTATTAATATATTAATTATAATTATAATTACATTTTTTTGTGGATTTTTTTTTAAATTGATAACTCCCGAACGGTTCATCAAAACTTAACATTTTTTATTTCAAAATTTTCGTTAAAAAATAAACTTTACGATAAAAAAATTTGGTTCCTAGGAGCAAACCTTTTAAAAAAACTGTTTTTTTTTTTAAATTAATAAAACTTCTCTGCCAGCGCTAGAGGTCGGAGCGCGGTCACAAAAACATTTATAACTTTTGACCTATTACAAAATAATAACTTTTTTTATCCAAATTTTGGATTGTAAAATCAGATAAAATGTAAAAAAAATGTCTCGCAGGCAGAGAAGTTTTATTAATTTTTCTCCGACAAGTACGTTCAGACTCGCGCGCGCTCAGTCATCGTGATCGTCCATCGATAGAGGTCGAAGCGCGGTCACAAAAACATGTATAACTTTGGACCTATTATAAAATAATAGCTATTTTCGCAGAGCTAATCCCGAACTAATTCCGAACATATTAAAATGCGCATGCCTAGGATGTCCGAACTAGTTCGGGATTAGCACCGCGAAAACACCTAATAACTTTTTTTTTACCAAAATTTTCGTAAGGGATTTTAAAATCAGATAAAATGTAAAAAAAAAAAATTCGCAGGCAGAGAAGTTTTATCAATTTTTAATTGTTTAATAAAAATTGTTTTTTTTTCTTTTAAAGGTTTGCCACTAACAACAAATTTTTTATCATAAAATTTATGATAAAAAATTTGTTGTTAGTGGCAAACCTTTAAAAGAAAAAAAAACAATTTTTATTAAACATAAATTATCATAAATTATATTTTTCAACGAAAATTCTGATATAAAAAATGTTTAAAAAGTTTTGATGAACCATTTGGGAGTTTTCAATTAAAAAAAACATCCACAATAAATGTAATTATTAATAGGTATTGTAAAAATCGATTTTTTGCAAACATATTTTAGAAAAGTAGTTTTTACCCCTAAACCGATTAAAAACCGATGAAAATGAGACCATCAATTTTTAAGTGGCACACTTGAGAAATGTTGAGCCAATATTAATATTAAGGGATGCCACCACAGACCTGTCTGTGGATGCCACCAAGCATTTAACGTTGAGCGGGCAGCAAACAAATCAAAAATTGACAAATTTTGTTTAAATTTTAATAACCAAAGCATTGACCCCAATTTCTTTTGGATTTCAAAACCTGAAACCGCGCTACAAGATTTTGAAGTTTTGGTTAAAGACAGCGGATTTTGTGAATTGTACATACAAAAACTCGCAGCGCAGCCCCCAGGCTTCAAAACCAAAAAAAAAGGCCAATGCTTAGGCCACTTAACCACTTACATATATGCCTAATTTTTGGCATCTTGGTGGCACTTCATTTATTTTAATATTATGGATTAAAAATTTGTCAGAAGTATTTTTGAACATAGAAGCAATTACACTATATGAAACACAATATTTCATATTCATATTTCATATTTATATTAGGGTGGTTCGTTTTAAAGGAATATTTATTTTTATACTTCCAAGCAAAATATTACATATCGAGAATAATATTCTCGATATCAGCCCTTAATTTTACTTCTAAAAAAATTACTATTTTTAACTTTAGTGTTTACATTAAAATAACATGGGAAATTAAGGATTTAAATTTTCTTTAGCTCGGCGACATTATTAACCAGGTACTATTTAGTATTGACGTCCAAGGATTTTAGCAAGATCCATCCACCATTGGACAATAATTGTCGGACAAATACGTGCACAAATATAGGTTTTATAACATTCAAATAATGTTTTATATAAATTCCTCTTTTCCTTTATGAAAGGACCAATCGAGGAATACAAAAATATTTATATTCCGAAATTTCGAAAACCACTACTAGGGATTTTTTTTAGAGAAAAGTAATCACGGGATAACTTAAAATCCCACTATACCAATTTTTATTGGTCTCGTATAGTACTTTCTCTAAAAAAGTAATTAAAAAAGTGCCCAGCTGGGACACCCTATATAAGACTGATAAAAACTGGTATAGTGAGGTTTTAAGTACCCTTGTGGAAATTTTTCTCTGAGAAAGTCTTACTTTCTCTGAAAAAGTCTGAATAATACTTATTAAGTCGGAAAAAGTCAGAATAAGACTTATTAAGTCGGAAAAAGTCTGAATAAGTCTTATTAAGTCAGACTAATAGCAAGATTTGGGAGTCTTCTGGAAGAGTTAATAAGACTTTTTTAGACTTAATAAGACTTTTAGTAGAGAAATGGTAGGTACCTACGGAAATAAAAATAAATATCCGAAATAATTCATAGAGGTTGTATTTGGTTA